GGGGGGGGGGGGGGGAGAGGAAGATATAACCACCACAATTTTTTTGAAGTTCTTACAACAAGAAAATGGAGGGGACACACTTGGGTGGGAGGGGGGAGAGGGGGGAGGGAGGGAGGTTTCAGTTATGGGCCACAATAATCATCCACATTGTATATCGACAAAATAGAATAAAATATAAAAAATAATAAAATAAAATAAGAAATGAAGTATGTTAGGTATAAGAATTCTGGTATTCAGATACCATCACCTCTAGTTTCAAAAACAGAAGCTGAAAGTCTAAATTTGTATGTAAAGTCTGATTTGTACATGTTTGATCAATTTTTTTTTTTTTTAAAAGATGACCAGTAAGGGGATCTTAACCCTTGGCTTGGTGTTGTCAGCACCACACTCACCCAAGTGAGCCACGGGCCGGCCCTCAATGGCACTTTTCAAAGTGCTTTCTCCTTGTACTATTTTAATTCCAATTGCTTATATCAGTTAAAGGGAAGAGTGAACTAAGAGTCTTTCTAGTTCTGAAAGTTTGGGTTTCTCACCATGAATGAGGGTAAGTCTCACCCACTACACAGAGCAGGAAGATTGAAGCCCAGCTGGGCAGGCAACTTGCCACGGTCGTGGGGCTGATCAGCCCGGCCCTGGACTCTAAGAACACCAGCTCACTCTCTGCCTCAAGGATGGAGATGTGTTCTGAGATAGAGGCCCAGCCTCACCTGTACCAGGCCTGAGCTGAAGGTGGGGAGGGTAGCCTCACACTCACATTCCCATCTTTCAGATCAGATGCAAATGAAGCATCGGAATCATGTCACATTTTGAAAAACCTCTTCCCCCAGCCCTCCAGTTATTCCACAGATGACACTTGGTAGCTGTTAAGCAGCAGACTATTTCTTTGGTATCTCCTTAAGTAGGTGGGAATATGCAGAATACTGTGCAGAGCAAGCTGCTTGCACCACACAGCAGATAAATATTAACTAAAGAAGAACAGGGAAGGAGGAGACTTTGGCCTGGAATTTTATTAGGAAGACTTTGAGCTTCACTAGATGATCCTGAACTTAGAATGACTTAGCTGGGTCTCTTCATTCAGTAATGCTGGAGAAAGAGACAGCCGTCCTGAACACTCATAAGCAGTTTTGCATTCTCTGGCCCTAACAACTCTTCCCAGTCTCTAATGGAATGTGAATGGAGCCACTGGTTATGAGAGAGGTGCATTCATGCATTCATTTGTTTTGGGGGTGTGTACTCCATGCTGGGCACCAGAGATCCAATGCTGCACAAAGGAACTAAAAGTTTCCTTTACGCTCATGGAACCTACAATCTAAGGGAACAAAGACAGTCAAACAACCAAACAAACAGATGTCAAATTTCTACTGCCACAAGAGCTGCATGGGGCTGAGTCTTACATCTGAAAGCTGAAAATGTGGTGAGTAGGATAACATAGGATGCATAGGGATTGATGCGTTGATCAGGGGAAAGAGCAGCATGTGAGAAGGGAGGAAGTCTTTTGAATATGAGGGACCAAACAAAGACCAACATGACCAGAGCACGGAAAGTACATTGTTGGATGGTATTGGAGAGAGCACAATGGGCCACACCACACAGGGCCTCAAGAGTCACCAGAGAGATTGAATTTTATTCCAAGTATTAAAAGAAAGGCTTTGATGGGTTTTAAGTAGGGAAGTGACATGATGAGAACTGATTAGGCAGGAGAGTTGGGGGATAGGAGGCCCAATGGAGGAAAGAAGTCCAGTTCAAATGCCGTGTGGTCATCCAGAGTTGGGAAAGGAGCTGCAGCTTCAAATGGCAGTGACACATGTGCTTGCTACCTCCTACGGTGAAGAGAGCACTGGACTAGTTATCCAAAGACTTGAGTGATTTTGAGTTCAACTGTATACCGTTGGGGGAGTGATTTTGTCTCTGTGGTAGTCAATCTATCTTGCTTGATTGCTCAATGGAAGCAGTGCAACTGGTCTACCTACTTATGATTTCCAATCACATAATCTCAGAGATGGGAGGAGTGTGAGATGTAGCAGCTGGTCCCTGGCCCTACAATCCGCTTGATGCCTCCTCTGTATTCCTTAAAGTTGTGTCCCCAGCACTTGGTACACTGGGGACCAAGAGCAGCCACCATGTACAACATCTCTATAAATAGCCCATCACTTGAACACCTTCAGAAATGAGGAACTCTCTTCCACTCCCAGGACAGCCATCTCAACATCGTACCACCCTACCCATCAAAAATATCCTCCTCATATTTAGTCTTCGTTTTCTTAGATCTTCTGCCAAATGCTCCAAAGTCAGATCATATAGTACAAGCCTAACATCAACCCTTCAGCACACACATCTCTCTTCTTTTCTTCTTCTTTTCTTCCAGTTAAATATCTCCTCTTCCTGCAGCTCTTCTTCACGTGACATAGCTTGTCTCCACTCGCCTGCTCTCATTCCTTTGAACAAGTTTTCTCTGTCTTATTTCCCTCTTACTGTGAAGTATCTAGGATCAGTCTTTTCCACATAGCAAGGAACAACAAATATTTGTTGAATTTCTTGGAGTGAACACTGTCTGCCTAGAATGAAAAGGAATCTCCAAGAAACTGAGACAAAGTGAAGTGCAGAGGGACATGGAAGTAACACAGAAAGGTTCAGCCAGGGTTTTGAAAACAGTGTGAAACTGCAGAGCCAGCCAGCAGGCCTGGGTTACTGCTCCTGAGTCAGTGTGATTGGAGGCTCTTGAGTTTCTTTTTCTGTAAAACTCATGGGTTGGATCGGTGATTTCTGGTTGTTAAATATTAGGTTTTAGCTTAGCACGGTCATATGTTGAAGACTCTGAACTTGAGGCTGTCAGAGCACATGTTAGAAAGGGCTGAAAATTATAGGAGCTCCAGGACGGCACTTCCTTGATAAATTGAGTAGGATAGAAAGAGAAATGGAATGTAAATAACTTTATCACTGTATGATTCCATATGATTTCATGCCATGTCTGTCCACCACATAAAATCACTTCATCAACATCCAAATCATCTTGCAGTGTCTTTGGGGATCCCTAGCCTTGGAAATATCCTAGCCAAATCAGAGAGATCACAGTGGAACTCTTAGCTGGGCATGTTTCTCTTTATTATTTTAGGCATATAAGAGGAAAATAGGACTCTGAGAAGTTCAAAGATAAATTTCTCACTTCATGTATGACCGTCATGTTTGCCTTTCTGATCTTTTTTATTTCAGCCATATTTTTTTTCTCTTTCTTATGGGGGTGCGGGGGGCAGGGTAAAGAATTGTGCCTGCACGCAATGGTGACATTCTATGAATCTTTACATGAACTTTGTTTTAAAATCAGCAATTGCTTTATTTTATTTTATTTTTGAACCAGAAGATGAAAACATTCAATATAAATAGTGAAATATGAAAATTCCAAGTCAGTTCATGAACTTTTTGAAGTACCCTCATACAGTAGCTGGACTACGGTTATTATCACTCTATTTCCAGTATATCCTTTCTTCCCTTCCTTCTAGTCCATCATTTTGGTGGCCTTTGCCAGCCATAAGGGCAATAATGAGGTGGTCTGACCAACATTTCTGGACCAATCAAATGTGTGCATTGTATGTGTGTAAATGCATTTGTGTTCATATATGCATGCACAAATATTTGGTGTATACGTAACTGCATTTGAAAGGATGTTTATACATGTTTGTGATTTTTGTGGGCAAATGTTGATTTATCTGTGCCTTCATTGGTATGTGTCTTGATATATACATAAGTGTAAAAGTGAATGTGAATATGTACCTGTGGGCTTTATCACCCCTGAAGGTCTGAATCCCTACAGGTCCCTATCAGTGATAAGGAACAAAATTTGGAATCTCTCTGACATTTGAATTCTCACATCCTGCTGACAGAGGAGAAAGGGCAATAAGGCTTGACAGCTCCACGGATGGGGGACAGGGGGCAGCTCAGGCTGGCTCTCGGTGCCTCCCCATAGTCTTCTGCAGTGTGGCCATGCTTCTCATGCCTCTTCCCTTTGGCCTGCAGGTCCCTTTCTGGCCGCATCGTTGGTGGAGTCTGGTGGTTCTTCACCTTGATCATCATCTCATCATACACAGCCAACCTGGCCGCCTTCCTGACTGTGGAGAGGATGGTGTCTCCCATTGAGAGTGCAGAGGACCTAGCAAAGCAGACGGAAATCGCTTATGGGACGCTGGAAGCAGGATCTACTAAGGAGTTCTTCAGGGTAGGGACATCCCTTGTCTCAAGGCACTTTCACAAAAGGGAACCAGTACTGTCATTAAAATTTCCTTCTCACTAAAGAGCATGAGATAACAGGCAGCCGGGGTAACTGCTTAACTGAGTACAAGTCAGAGAAACTCAGAACATTTCTCAGCTTTCTACAGACCCCTGAGAAATCTGCATTTCTATGTTTGTAGAAGCTTTAAAGCTCCTGTATTGATTGAGACCCCTTGCATAAACCAAACTGCTAGTTTTCTGAGGGCTGCAAAGGACATCAAAAATAATTCTTTCCCTGGTCCCATGAGGAGCTTACAGTCTGGTTAATAACCAATTAGGAACAGCTTACAGATGAAGTCCAGACCCGATGCTCTTTGTGTTTCCTCCTATCTCATAGCTTGAGTTCAGTAAGTGTTCGTTGACTTGATGAATAAGAAGGTAGTATATGGGGGAAAAAATAACTGGAATAGGTGACCTATTAAATATTGCCATGAGAGAGGGAGAAGATGTAAAGTAGGAGGGAGGTGGTGAGATGTCTTCTGGCTGGAGGCAGCGAGCATAGGCGGAGGAGCAGAGAGCTTAGGAGCACAACCTTCAGGCTCAGCCACATACACATCTGGAACCTGGCTCCGTCCCTTCTTTGTACTGTGCACTTAGCCTATTTGACACCATTTCCATTCATCTATAAAATAAGGCGAATAATGTCAATCTCAGAGTCTTAATGAGATTAAAAGAGATAAGGCATGGGCCGGCCCGGTGGCGCACTGGAGAATTGCGCCGCTTGAGAGCGTGGCGGCGCTCCCACCAAGGGTTCGGATCCCATGTGGAGACCGGTTCCCGCTCACTGGCTGAGCGCGGTGCGGGCGCAGCGCCAAGGGTTGCGATCCCGTTGCCAGTCCCCGGTACAGGCGCGACACTGAGGGTTGCGATCCTGTTACCGGTCAGTAAAAAAGACAAAAAAAAAGAGAGAGAGAGATAAGGCATGTAAAATACAAAGGAAAACAAGGAACGATGAACAGAGGCTCCATTTAGCATTAGGGCTTCAGGGAAGTGCAAACATTGGGGAGGCATCTCGAAGAAGGGGTAGGGGTCAAAACCACACAGCACAGACCTGGAAACATTTCTAGATACCATAAAACCAGGTCAGACCTGAGTAGGCTAAGTACATCCTACACAAAGGGGACAATTCGAACAAATGCCCAGAAGCAGGAAAAATACGTAGTTCCCTGGACTTTGGGCCTTTTCATCCCGGGAGCTGAACAAATAGCACATGGAGATACCATATATTGATCAAATAAAAATAATAAACAATTGCTAACACTCACTTAGCACTTACTATGAACCACATTCTCGGCTAAGCACACCCTATATGAATTATCTCATTTAATCCTCTCATTAGAGACGAGTTAGGGATTATTGTCTCCATCTCATAGATGAAGCTCGGAGAGGTAAAAGGAATTGCTAAGATCACACAGGTAGAAGCAGCAGAGGAGCATAGAGAGCAATCCCCTGTATTGACTCAGGCTACAGCGTAGGGATTCCATGAAGTCTCACCCAGGCTCTCGCTGCAACTTCATGGAGCAAATCTCAGACCTCAAGTAACCCACTATGTGATGCACTGTAGTTTCTTGATCACAGGCTTTGTGTTCTGTATGACTGGCAGGAAAGGGACCAAAGTCTTAATCACTGATCCTGGCTCCAAGGCTTAAAATCATCAATTTTCAATATATTTGATCCAGAAGCTGCCTGAGAGGTCACCTGGTCATAGCCTGTCGTTTTACAGAGAGGCGTGACTTGCTTGAGTTCACCCAGCCTGTCAGTAGAAAAACTACTGGTAATCTCATTACAATTCTCTGACATTTTTAGCCCGCAACCAGGTGTGAAGGAGATGCCTGTTATTTTTGCATAAAATCAGTCCTGTGCCCCTGCTGATGCAGTCGGGGAACCACCCAATTCACTTAACAATGCTCTCATCCCCAGAGTGTATACGACATGCCCCAGGTCGTCCCCAAAGCACTTGCATGCCCACAGTCTCATTCACGTTTCACCTATGGCAAAACAGGGGTTATGGTCTCCACTTTGTAAATAAGAAATTGAGATTCAGGAATTCATGATGCAGGTGGCAGGTACAGGTCCCAAATCTGAGTTTCCTCATTCTAACCCAAGTACTTGTATCCTTGCCACGGCACCATGCTGTCCTGATGCGGTGCTGCTCATTAACTGATAAATGTTTTTTAAAAGATCACTCAGGTTGCCAGATAGGCCTGTGGACAAACGTAGGCTAACCTCTGGGAAAACAGAAACCCAGAGGAGAAAATGGTCATGCCCTAGTCAACTAGAGGCATTGCTGGGACTTAAGACTTCAAAGTTCTTTGTTAATAACTGTATCAATTGACATATTACTTCCTCTGTCCACAGGACAAAGTTAAGAATCTGGAGCCAAGGCAGTGCATATTCCACAAGTTCTATGCCCCAACTAGGCCTGTGACACTAGTGGCAAATAGGTTGTGTAGTCCACATGCTAACGTCAGTTGGTCAGTAGTGGTTGCCCAGAATTCTATGTTGAGAGGGATTCTGAGGTCACATCTGGGCTCTGTGTGAAAAAATTCCTTGATTGATATCAATGTCTGCCACATAGAAAGGAAGGGAATATGGTATCAAGCAAGCCACGTAGTGAGCATCCTTACCCTAAAGTAAACCTGAAAAAAAGGGCATAATTATTAGTAGTAATTGTACCACTTACAGAATGCCTTCCTTGTGCAGGCACTGGGTTACGCACTTTACTTAATGTTCTCATATAATCTCCATGGCAACACTGTGCAGTGAATACTACCATCACCATCGTCAGATGAGGAACACTGAGTCTCATAAAAGCTATATTACTTGCCCAAGGTCCTGCAGCTACTAAGATATAAAGCCCAAAACAAGGGAGGCAGCTGTTTGCTGTGGAAAGGCGTGAGGTGTGTGGTAAAGAGGCCAGGGTTTACTCCTGGTTCTGCCACTAACAAGCTGCGTGACATTGGACAGTTCATGGCCACATCATGGGCCTCAGCTTCTTTTCCTGTAAAAGGAGATCACAACTAAGATATGTGCCATTACCCTTCTATCTCTGTGACTCTGACTTTGAGAATTATCCCCCCAGGACTTTGGTCAGTAGGAAGGCAGGATCACCTACCAACCCCACAAGGCCAAAGAAGGGAATAGTCAGACAAGAATTCTTCTACCCCAGTCTCTGAAAAATCTGGCTTCAAGTTCCCATGGCAGCTCAGAGCTTCTTGGCAGCCCCAACCCAGAATCACTTAACCCTCCATAGACAGTTTAATTAAGATGTGCTGAGGGCCATGGGAGCTGCAGATGATAGGAGGCATCCATGAACAAATACCCCGAGTATGCTTCCAATCTTCCTGCCACTCATGCTACTTTCGTATTCCTGAAGATTAGATTTTCCTGATAGTCTGTTCCTGGCGCCTGTGAGCACAGCCTTAGCATTTGGGGCACTGGGGTGAGGCTGTGAGGACATATTAATTTCCCACATACCATTGCCCAAGGGCTCTTCAGCTCTGCCTGTCAGCAGCCAGTTCCCTGCTGTGTCCATCCTGTCAGGTCAAATTGCATCTTGCAATTGCCCTGCTGAGTGTTTTGTTGGTTTTGTGCCTGGAAGATCATCTGCAAATGTGGTTTTATACATTTCCCTGTTTCCTGTAAGACAACATTAAATACACTGAAGATGCTATGATTGGTTTTAGGTATTTCCTCTCCTAACTTTGGAATCATCCCTCTCTTTCCTCCCTTCTTTCTTGTTTTGCACATTAACATTGTTGCTTGAATGATGTATCTTTATATGAAGAACTAGATATTTCAAACTAGCAAGGGACTTAAAGACTACCATGCCCAAACTCCTTATGGAACAGATGGGGAAACTAAGGCCCAAAGAGAAGGAATTTTCCATAGACCAAACCAAGAGTAGAACTAAGCTTGTCACATCCAATCCAATGTCTTGTCCAAACTGTAAACCATACTGTGAATCAAATAATCTAGTTTATCTAATTATATAGACTATTGAAACTTAAGACTCGTTCTCCCAAATGCCTCCCTGCAATTCTCAGAAACTATTTCCATTAATTTTTCCCTCAAGACCTAGAATTTTCCAGGTCCCCCAAAATCTTAATAGGTCATTTGGTTCAAATGACAACTGTATATCAATAACTTACCAACACTTGATGTTGATTGATATCAAGGAAATAAACCTGATGCTTCTGCAGAGAGAAAAATGATATATTGCATGCATGATGATAGTTTTATATTAAATACATCTGTAATGTATAAATTAACCACTAGATGGGTTGTGTAGTCATCAAAGGATGATTCTAATAGCAACTGTCTTTTAAAAAAAATAGTCTGGATAAGGAAAATGTGGCATATACACCATGGAATACTACTCTGTCATAAAAAAGAATGAAATTCTCCTATTTGCAACAACAGGGATGAGCCTGGAGAAACTTATGATGAGTATAATAAGCAAAGCACAGAGGGATAAATACCATATGTATTCACTCATAAGTGGGAGCTAAGAGAGAAAGAAGGAAAAAAGAAAGACCATAGTGGTGTGTTGGACTTGCAGAGGGAGAGATCATACCTAGGGATACAAAGTGGAGTGGGGAAAGGGGGATGGGGGAGGGAGGTTGGGGATAATTGGGTGGGGGACATGGGGTATAATCACAATTTGTGGTAATGGACATGCTACCAGTATGGATCTGGCCATCACATCTTAGGCACGAGTGGTGACAATTTGCTTTGTACCCCATGAATATTCATAACCAATAAAATAAATAAATACATAAAATAAAAAATAGTCTCATCTGTATTTAACAATTGTTTTATGGGGGGGGTTTTGACCTTTTTTTTTGAGACCGGCCACACCGCACTCAGCCAGTGAGCGCTGTGAGCGCACCGGTCATCCCTATATAGGATCCGAACCCGTGGCGGGAGCGCTGCTGCGCTCCCAGCGCCACACTCTCCCGAGTGTGCCACGGGCTCGGCCCAACAATTGTTGATCTGTAAAAATATTTTCAAAAGCCAGACTCCAGTATCTCTAAAATACATCTACTCCTTGGTAAAAGAATACCCTTTAGAAAGAGCATGTTAGATGAGAGGGTTGAACTGTGGTCCTAGAATGTCAATCCTGACTAAGGACCTACTGTGTGGAAGGTACTTGATTAGACTTTGTGAAGAATCCACAGAAGGGAAGACATCCCCTGTCCTCAGGCAGCTTTCACGTACTTGAGACCTATGCACAAGGAGAAATGACTTGCAATACTAGTAGTCTTGCCTGGCCATCCAGTGAGTGACCCAGACAATGTGTCTAATAAGAATATCAGCCCTTGTGATGCTGTTTCTCAGAGTGAGGTCCACACAGACATACTGATCAGAATCACATGATGGGAGGACCTTCTGTAAAAGATTTATTCTGGGCTCCACCCCAGATGTGCTGACTCAGAATCTCTAGATTTAGAGCCAGGGAATCTGCATTTTTAAAACCTCTATACATGATGCTGGTGCCCACTAAAGTTTAAGAATCATTGTCCTTAGAACTGAGGTGGGTTCCAAATATGTAGGACTTATTCTGGTCTATGAAATGAGAAGAAGGATGTTGCTGGACAGAACCAGCATATCAAGTGGAGTAAACAGTCCAAGCAAAGTCCCCAAAAATTGAAGGTGCAAGGCGAGTATAGGGGGAAATAAGGAAAGCAGCTTGACTAGATTTAGAGGCTTTTAAAATGTAAAAAGGTGACAATATTTGGTCCTAAATTACTAGCTTTATCAGACAATAGTTTACATTTTGAGGGTAGGTCCTGCAATATGGGATGACTGAATTTGACAACCCGTGACCCAGAAAATCTTCAATGTTATGTTCCAATAATGAAATCAGGCTGCGCTGATATTCAGCTCTCTACTTCTTCTGGACAGTATAAATATTGCCTTATTGGGTAATAGATAGGTTCTTTAATGTCTTTAAAAGCCAGACAGGGCCCCAGTTTCTTAACTTTCCCCATATTTATGAGGAACATAATTACTCGGAAGTAATTAAAAGATTCTGAACTATTCTGTTCATTCTGTATTTGCAAGATATTTGTACTTTGGAACCTACTGGTACTAATTAAAGCCTCTTATTTTGCAATCACTCATAATTTGTTTCTTCCTGAGCTAATCTCGTTCATGAATGTACGATCAAGCTACACTCAGCTCTTCATTAATGTGTGTGCCGACCCCAATTCCAAGCATAGCCAGCACTTAATTCTGGCTTTGTTCCTGTCCCCTGCCAGAGGTCTAAAATTGCCGTGTTCGAGAAGATGTGGACATACATGAAATCAGCAGAACCATCAGTTTTTGTGCGGACCACAGAGGAGGGTATGATCCGAGTGAGGAAATCCAAAGGCAAATATGCCTACCTCCTGGAATCCACCATGAATGAGTACATTGAGCAGCGGAAACCCTGTGACACCATGAAGGTGGGAGGTAACTTGGATTCCAAAGGCTATGGCATTGCGACACCCAAGGGGTCCGCCCTGAGGTAAGTAGCCAAGATATGCTTCCCTGGTGCTCCCTCTCCCCTCCCTATCTCAGGAATGAAGCTGCTGCATCTGCCACCTGGCTCCAATGCCACAATGCAAGCTGTCAAGTGGGCTCTTCTTCAACACCTGTGGGCTTGGAAGATTCCAGCCACCTGAGATCGTCAGCCCTGAGGTTGGAAACTGACCTGGGGGCCTCAGCTTGCTATGACTGCCACTGCCCGTGTGTTCTTCCCCACACCTCACCTTACCCCTCTAAGTGTGTTAAACATCAATGAACCTTGTGCTTTTGTCATGTGACCTATAACACCCCATTCTTTACTAGACATCCCCTGCATCTATCTAGGCTATACACAGGGTTCTCCAGCAATCTGGATTCTTTGACAGAAGGTGGTTTGTAATGTTTGTCTCAAAAAGAAACATAAACACATTGTCCAAATGAAAAATCAAGTAGTTTTGAGCCCTGAGACTCTGACTATCGAAATCAAAATAGCACCAAATTTTATGGCAGCACCTATTTTTACTTAGGTACTGATTTCTTTAGACAGATAGATAGTTTAGTAAAGAAGCAAAGTGGACTTTACTTTCACATAAAGAAGCTCTAATATTCATTCTAAACAGGTAAGGATGAGTCCTTCTGAGGACTTGAAGTCAAAAGACCGAGATTTAATTCTGGGATATAGTACTGACTATTTTACAGAAGATAAGACGTATTATCTCTTCAATCCTCAGTTTTCTCATCTGTGAAGGGAGTATAATCATCCCATTCCTTCCTAGGTCCAAGGTGGTTGTGAGTTCAAATGGGATAATCTGTGTAGAAGACAACTGAAAACAGTGCAGTGTGAACTCACCTATGAGACATTATGCCAATTACAGAGGGATTAAGTCATTTTAGGGCAGGGTAGAATTCCAGAAAGGGTAAGAAGGGTCAATAAAGATTGTGAAAGGCTGGAGAGAGGTTTCTAACTCATCTTGACATGATATCCAGGGCCACCTCTGCCTCTGCTTTCACTTCATTCATTTCCATGATATTGAGCCCAGCATTGTTCTAGGCACTGGGCTAGTAGCTGGAGTTACAGCTTTGGACAAGGTGGAGATAGTCCCTATCCCCATGGAGCTACATGCTTGTAGGAGAGAGACATTAAACAGATGATTATTGTTTAATGACAATTATGATATTAGGATAGTCTATAAAAGGGGACCTAGAGGACATCTACTTACAGAAATATGGCAGAACAGAATTCCCTCTATAAAACACCTAAGATATACTGGATGAGATGCAACTAATAGCCTTTTAAATGCAAGTTAGAAAATCCCTAGGGCCAAAAAGGAAATAAAGAAATCAAAGCCAGAGTGAAAAGCATTAAGCTGATTATTCCGGGACCACCCTAAGCAAGGCAGAGTTATAAATTGTGTGACAATCTATGTGAGCAAGAATCAGCAGGAAAGTAATCAAAAATATCTCTAAAAGAAGGACACTATCATTAAAGATCAGTCATATTTGAAAAGGTACAAATTAAAAGTAGGAGAAATAAAAAATATAGTCATTGAGGGCCGGCCCGGTGGCGCACTGGAGAGTGCGCTGCTTGGAAGCGCGGCGTCGCTCCCGTCGAGGGTTCGGATCCCATGTGGAGACCGGTTCCCGCTCACTGGCTGAGCGCGGTGCGGGCGCAACACCGAGGGTTGCGATCCCATTACTGGTCAGTAAAAAAAGACAAAAAAGAAGAAAAAAAAAATATATATATATATATATATAGTCATTGATATAAAATCTCAATGGAAGGGTTAAACAGAAAATTAGACAAACTTGAAGGGAGAATTAGTTCACTGGGGAAAAAAAGAGAGACAATTCCCCAGAATATCACACAGAGAGACAAAAAGAAAAAATATAACAAAGAGGTTAAGAGACATGAAAGACAAAAAATTCAGTCTGTTATGAGTTCCAGATACAGACAAGAGAGGATGGAGTAGAGGTGATATTTTAAAGGAATTTTCCAGAATTTATTGAAAACATAAATCCCCATATTTGAAAACTGAGTCCCAAGCAGGATAAATAGATAAAACTCAGCAGCTAACTTATTTGAAACTGAAGAATGATAAAGACAAAAAGATCTCAAACATACCGAGAGATAGCAGGTCCGATCTTGTCTGCAGGATGTGTGGGGTGTGGCTGGGAAGACTTCTCCAAGGATGCCTTTTACAAGCTGAAGTCTGACAGATTAATAGGAGTCAACTAGGTGAAGTGAGGGGAAGAAAAGAGTAGTCCGGGCAGAGGAAACAGCATGTGCAAAGACTCTAAGGCAAGAAATTATGGCACAGTTGGTAAACTAGAAAAAGCCAAGTGTTCCAGGAACTCAGCTAATAAAGAGGGGGAAAGGTTGCACTGAGGATGGAGAATGAGGTAGGGAAGGGTTCTGTAAAGGAATTTTGTCCCTATTTGAAAAACAACAATAATATATTGAAGAATTTTAAGTAATTATCTGAAAATCAGGAAAATAAAGATATCCAGAGGAGGGTAGACATAACCGAATGAGACCCAGTGAAAGGAAACCAAATGGACTGGTGTTTATCAATCATGCATTTTTGCCTGGAAGAGCTTAGAAGACCCTTTGTACAAGTTTAGGAAAAGTTCAAAGGGAATCCAGATGATAGTGCTTGGCAAGGAAGAGACGTTTATGTCAGAAATATATATCATATCACCGTAGAAAGACCCAAAATAGAGAATGTGTTCTTACAGGTCCAGGAACATCCATGATGCTGCAGTATTACAATTTGCTGAAGGTTGTATGAGTCAATGACATGATTTAATCTAAATACTTGAACGTGAAGTTAAGAAAACAGGGTATAAAGAGGTGACATGATTTGTCCATTCAACAGAGTACATCTACCACCCCATCCCACACAGAGGTGCCTGGAATAAGGTGACAACTCAGAAAATATTGGATGTTTGAGTGACATGAACCTAAAACTCAGGTCATCTGGCACTCAAATATTTTTCCATTGTAATTAAAGTATCACTGAATGAGTGCCTACTAAGCGCCACGCATTGTGGCATATGCATTATCTCATATAACCCTAGCAACATCCCTATGAAGTACCATTATTCCCATCTTACAGATGAGGAAAAAGAAAGACAGAGTTAACCTACCTGATCAAGATGACACAGCTAATAGGATGGGAGCCAGATTTCAAGCCTAGGCAGTGTGTCTTCAGAACCCATGGCTGTAACTTACTTTAAACCTGTGCTGGCCTTTATGACTAACAGCACCATTAAAGGCAGGAGTCTGGACTCAGGCCAGGTTGTCTGTACCTCTCCAAACAATGACCATCAACTCAGGAGTAAAAGCAGACTTTTGGAGTCCAGAGCATCCACTCACCACTGTGAAAGCAAAAGGTCATAATGGACACTCACTTTAATGTAACAGATACCACTCCTTTGAGTAGTAACACTGCTTCTGTGAATCTTGTACACATAAAGATTCTTTCTGGGTTAAATGCTGAAAATAATTTAACTCTGTAATAAAGAAAAACCTGATTTTTTTGCTCATATCTCTGTAAAAGACATAACAATCCATGTATTGATTTTGAGAAAGAGAGTATGAGAAAAAGGGAGAGAGAAATGAAAAAGAATATGCTTCAAATACAGATTACTGGTGGCTGATTTGCAAGTCAAGAATACCCAGCTGTCACATGCTACCTGCCCTCTTACAGTGTTCCTTTCTTGCCAGTGGCAATCATTATGATAGCCATGGGCCTTCTGACTCAAAAACGGAAGAGTAATGCCCATCCTAAGAGGGCCTTGAATTTCTGTCTTGGGAAACTCCCTCTGCCCCCTATCAGATTCTACTTCTCATCTCTGCATTAAAAGGGATTATTTAGCAACCAACAGTGTAGAAGTTCCACAGAATGTACCATTGAAAGATGGTTACAGAAAATAATGAGTGACTACACACACACTCTCCAGCCAGGTTTCCATCATACGTCTGCCTCACTTGCCCCAAATGGTGCCATTTCACCATTTGGTCAAATACCAAAGAGTCATGGCAAACCAAATACCACAGACACATGTGCCTGCTCCAGCCATCTTAAATCCACTGATTTGATCCCAGGAAACTGTGCTGCATGGCAAAGGTGACAAAGGTAGAAAGTGAGGAGAAGAGTAAAGGAGAGTCCACGTTTCTGTGGACCCGCAGAAAAAGGCTGATACATACTTTAAAATGATCTGGCAGAGGAAATCAATTTTGTCTTCAAATTATTTTGAATTATAGAAAATAGTTTTTAAAAGGCTGTTCATTCAATCATTCACAAGGCTGCAAACTCTTTCGAAGTGCTTATGCTATAGAAAGTTGCTGCACTATGCTCCAGGTGTGGTTACAGACTTCTCTTCTGCCCTATAAAAGGTGGGGCTTTTGCAGCCCTTGCAGGCAGATGTCCAGGTGTAATGCCTGTGCTGGCATCAAGAAAGGACCTACTTGGCAGGCCTACTTCACCACTTGCTCTCAATGAAGCCAGACCTCACCACACCTGTGGGGCATTCACTCCCTTCCAACCTCCCCAGAAGAAGCTTCAGGTCCCTCCAAGGCAGATCACCCAGCTCTGCCTCATATGATCAGATAACTGATATCTAAGACCCAAATGGTTCTCTATGACTTGCCAAGTCTACTTGGCAGAAGCCAGGTGATTGTCAGTGACAGAATGTTTTTTTTTTTTTTTTTTTTTTTTTTTGTCTTTTCTGCTCTGGAAACAAATACTGTGCTGAAGCAAGGTGGTTCTATGCTTGATTTTCCATTTGGACAGGTGGTGTTTCTTTGAAACAGATGCTGTTTGCTGGCTGTCACTGCATGTTTGGGGTTGGGTGAGGGGCTGAGTTATGTTTCAGAAGCCTTAGGTTGTGGATAAAGACCTATGCAGCCAATTCCGGTCACTAGGGAAAGGCAACTGGTAAATCTGCTAATTATGATCGATTGGCCCTTTTGTTACCAACTAAGTATCAGCTGGTCTA